TCAAAGTGTTACGGAGTTCTGAGCCAATGGCCGGTGTAAACTTGAATGTCCTTGAAGAAGCTGTTATCCATTGATGTAGGTTCATGTCACACTTCTCCATTGTCTCTAGCTTTGTTTAAAAATGTGATAGGAACGGAAAATCAGGAAAAGTGCTTAATTCACCACATTTCATTTGTGGTGTTGAAGTTATTCACCGTCCCCTGAGAGACTTATTTATAGTGGCCTGTCATACATTATAACCGCACACAGCGGTAATGTCTAAAACCCGAAATTCGGAAGTTTTGAATAGTGCTTCGAATGGGGACATGCTTTTTGTAATAAATTACCATAAATAACTCCATTTTTAGAATAAAAAGCAGAGTAAGACTTTGGCACTGAATAGCTACCTAAAGATGAGTTCATATGGTTTGCTTCTCCATTCATTAACCTCAGATCACAAGCATTTTTCGTTTTCCGCACGCCTTGATTTCACTTAGACAAGTCTCTAACCTTGATAAACCTATGGAGAATAGTGCTTTCAAATACATCTATTGGGTCGAAAATCCGATTACCACTAGTGAACTGATCAAATAAAGTGCAAATAAATCCGACAATAGGCCTGATAAGCATACACATGGTATATTCTGCGTCAATGTGTACTTGATTGCTTATTTCTGGCACCACCAGTGATTGCGCCGTTTCCACATTTTCATTGCTGTTTTTATTTATATTGCACAAGTTCACTTATTGTTATTGTTTACTACTTTGAACTTATTTTTGCACCCCATTTTATTTTAGTTTGTAAATGTGCGCATTAAACATCTCGAGTAAAAAATGTTGACATTATAGTTGATGGGTATTCGAACACAATGTGGTGAGGAGTCTTGATTAACCGTTGAAATATAGCTAAAACGGTCTTTTCTACTCCCACCCCTTCATGTATGTCCGTTTATCCAATCAAGTATCCTCCGTGGGTTTCCCCACACTTCCAGCACCAAGCAACCAATGAGTTATCCATATAAAAACCTACTTTAAGCTCTGGTTCGTCACATACAATAATCATATGGAGACTACTCAATTATTAAGCGATTACGGGACCATATTTTGCCCTGGATATGAGACTGTATATTCTGGTTCCATTGAATACTTGCATTCAAGCCAGGATTTCATCAAGAGTACTTATATTAGTTGCATGCGTGAATATTCTGAAGATTCACCGAGAGAACCGCCGTTGAGGTCATCAGTCTCTGTTTGTGATTGGTCGGGGAATAGGTGCAGTAAGTTACAGGACATATCCGTGTTTTCAATCACAATATGATCCAACTTATTACATTCCCATGATGTTTTTGAAAACTGCAATTTTTATGCTGTGGCTGTTTGGTCAAAGAAGG